TGACACCTCCTGACACAGAGCTCCTGCACTGATGGGCAAATAGGCAGCAGGTCCTCCAACGTATATCGCATTTGCAAACTAACCACATTTTCGTTGTCATGGAAACAGTCACGAACACGCTATAATTATGGAACATCTTGATTTCATGTGTTTAGGCAGCCAAATACAATTTGGTTAGGGAGAATACGGTGGTTTGTTGTAATTCACAGAATAAAAACAGCAGCTCAACCTTTGCATTGATGGTAAAATGTGTGAAGCTCTTCCACATTAACTTCCACGGGGAACCAGACGTTTTTACTGAACGCTGCAGCTGGTGCTTTGCTGTTCATGATGACTTGGATTAGATCACCCTGGTGTAAACTGTAGCACGTGACTCGCGTCCAACCTAAAACGTGTAACACTTTGTTAGGTCCCTCTGTTTATCTGTTATTAAATCTATATGGACATGTTATACTTGTTTATAACGCACTGTAACGCTGATGAGTAACAGTACATCACTTCTTCATATGTGTATTTGAAATATGCTCCAAAATATACACCCAGTTGTCAGTTTATTAGGAACACCTAGCTCAGACTGAGTCAGTCTAATCCAACAGTCTTTCATGAAGGTGATAATGTTATACAAAGAGATATTATTTCATCCGGCCTCACTGATAGAAATGGGTGGGCAGAATAATAAAAATACCTATTTTTCAGGTTTTGCTGCAATTTCTTCAGTCAATTCAATTATCCTCGTTCTCTTTTCAGCTGCCCATTACACTCACACACTCAGGATGCCTTCCATTCTCACGTTCTCAGAAACATATATATATATATACACACAGTGGTTACGGAAAGTATTCAGACCCCCTTAAATTTTTCACTCTTTGTTATATTGCAGCCACATGCTAAAATCATTTAAGCTTAAATACTGAGCAAAGGGTCTGAATACTTATGACCATGTGATATTTCAGTTTTTCTTTTTTAATAAATCTGCAAAAATGTCAAACATTCTGTGTTTTTCTGTCAATATGGGGTGCTGTGTGTACATTAATGAGGAAAAAAATGAACTGAAATGATTTTAGCATATGGCTGCAATATAACAAAGAGTGAAAAATTTAAGGAGGTCTGAATACTTTCCGTACCCACTGTATATACAAGCTCATATGTTGGCCAATATAAACATGCACATAACCTATGACTGTATAAACAGAACAACAACCCTCAGTGCAATACCTTGTAAACGTACCTTGGTATAATTCTATCTGAAAAACTGCACCTAAACTGTGTACACACACACACACACACACACACAGGAAGAAAGAGCAGGAACCCTCATGGAAGGACAAACCTCTGCACGGCACGTACCACCTTCAAATAGTAGAAGTGGCTGATATCGAAAAATCCTACCAGTGGCTGGGGCAAGATGGACAGAA